CATTTTGGAGCCAACACATGTTTTTCAGGATTCAAGACATTTGCAGAGGCCTCAGACCTAGTATATGAACACCCTGGACCACAGACAGGCCACCTTCCTCCCCCTGGGCTGAGGCACAGCGTCTCCTCCCTGGCTGCCCTGACCATTTCCAAACTGAAAGATGACCCGGAAAGTCAGGGCCGTGGCTCTATAGAGAGGCCACGCCAGTCACCACCCTCCCGAGGTGGGAAAGTGGTCCTCTCCAGCACTTTCCCTCAGCTTTCCCAACCTTCTCCACCCAGACGGCCCTGACGCTCAGTGATGGGCCACAGTGGTTATGTCCAGACCACCACTTGGAATTTACCACCTGTGAACGTCCCCGGTGCTCATCTTGTCCCTTATGACCCTCTTGTGGCTGGGGCCCGCCACATCCTCTGCTTTTGTGATGCTCCGAGCATCTCATACAGGACGCAGGTGGAATACACGTTCAGTAAACACGAGTTTCTCTTACATCCTTGAAGTTTGTTTTCCTACAGGTGCTCTGTCTGGGGGTGTTCATGGGTGGGGTGCCTTTCCCCTCTGTCAGCTCTGTGACATTGGGCATATTCGCTCCCTCCCTAAAGCCTCACTTTACTTATTCGCCAGATTACTGTGGCCATACTGGCGTCACGGAGCTCCTGTGAGGCTCAAATGCACCGACCTGGAGCTGGTGCCCACGAGTGGTGGCACCCATCACCCCTCCCGTGGTGCTCTCGGTCCTAGCCTGGCACAGGGTCAGTTAAGAGGAGACCCTGGAAGGGAGGGCGTGCCTCTTCCTGCCTCAACGGCACCCCCAAATGATCCACTGTTTAAAGAAGTTCAAAGAAATGCCAGCAATTTATTGATTTCCTATATTTCCAAAAAAGCAAACACATAGTGCACACACAGAGACACTGGGCTTGGCCAGCACAAGGTTCTTATACAAACATGGAGCAAAGGGAGACACGGGCTCCAGAGGGGCTCCAGGATACCTCCCAGAACGTCCCCTGGGCTTCCCTCTGCTCGTCAACCCCTGCCCGTCCCCTTGTCCCAAGCTCCTCATCTTAGCCATCCCCCCCCCAGTCAGGCTCTGCGGTGGATGAGAGAGAACGTCACTGTCTCCACATGGCTGGAGAAAACCCTCCACGGCCTCACTAGGGGAAGCATGGGGGTCTGCGTTGCTGGTCTGGCCCCCACTGGACAGGCTGCTGGTGGCCAATGACTGGATCTTAAGCACAAGAGATCCTGGGATCAGGACAGGGACAGGGAGAGACTGGGTGGCCTATGTCCTCCCTCATTGCCCTCAAATTGGAATGTCTTGTTTGGGGCGTCAACCCTGATAGCATGAGGCCAACGTGGGCTTGAGATACTGAGCCATGCCTGGGCCAACCCCTTACTCCTGTCTTTAGGAAATGCATCCTCAGGACCCTCTCGGTTTTGCCTCTTCCAAAGTGACAGGCATGGGTCAGAGGCCCAGGTCACAGGGCCAGCTGGCCGGCCTGAGAAAGCCCTAGAGATGTTACCAAATCAGGCCTGGCCTGACTGTCCACCTCAGCCCACCATTCCCCAAGGCAGAGGGCTGGGCCCACCTGGATCTACAGCACAGCTGGTGACAGAAAACCAGCAGAGGAATGGCAGGAGGTCAGGACACCGCTAAGGGAAGGGCCATCTCCTAGAGGGCTGTCACAGACTCCCTGGTAGTGGGCTATTTCCTTCTTGTCCTGACTGTTCCGGACAGTCCTCTCACACCGGGGGATCCCCCAAGCCAAGAGCCCCGTGTCTCCTCCTTCCTCCCGGAGAATGTAAGGTACATGAGGACAGGGCTTGGTCTGTTTTGTTCGCTGATGCATCCCGAGTGCTCAGAACACTGCCTGGCACATATTGGTGCACCATCCATATTTTTTTTAAGAAATGAATTCCTCTGAGCCCTGATGACTGGCAGAGGAGTCATCCTGGAACCTACACCCAGGACTGTCTGGTGGGACTGGGCTCCCTCGTGGCTCCTGAGAGAGAGGGGTGAGCCTGGAGGAGGCCTTCCATCATGAGCAAAAAAGAGGGAGGGCATCATGGACCTGGTTAAATGGCCTGTCATCACACGTCTGGCCCCAGTCTCAGTTGTCACACCTCTTAATAGGCACATCCTTAGTTCGGAAAGGTACTTTTCAACTCTGACTGCTGGGGTAAGAAGTGGGGTTGGATTGGGGTGTAGTTCAGGGTGGGGGGGTCAGGCAGGGGACCTGGGAGGAGGAGGAGGAGGAGGAGGAGGAGGAATGAAAGGTGAGGAGCACCTTCTATTCTTCTAGAGAAGGATATGAACCAGGCGGTTAATTCCTGTCCGACACCAACAGTTAGTATGGGTGGTGAAGGCAGAAATCAGGGAAGCCTTGGGAAACCTATGTTCTCTCTATCTTACAGTATATACTAAGGGTTATTTACAGCAAGCTTTTCCATGGGGGCCCTCAGTGGGTCCTTCTACTTCTCATCTGAAATGCTCAAGAGTCTGGGGTCTTGAGTGTGGCCAGTGCCCCTGACAAGCCCCTTTTATCACATCCTCTGTGGTTTTCCCAAAGACAGAGTGAGGACCAGGATGCCCGGGGTTCAGGGGAAGGTGGGGACGGCCGCTGCTGGGTCTTGGGCTGGCTGGTGCCCTAATTCGACAATTCTCCTTCCTGGTCGACCCAAATTCCTGTCTTCCAAGTCTTCTGGGACCCAAAACACTCTCTCACTTGAGTCTTATCAGGCACGCAGGGAAGTGTCCTCCTGGTTAGTTTCCAAATAGCCGCTGTCCCACCGGAGCCCGGAGCAGGTCCCTGTCCAACCCCAGCCTGTCCCCCTCACTGTTGGGAATACGAAGACCAAACAGCCATGTCCTGAACAGTTCTTTGGCTTTGGGCACCATTTTGCCTTCTTTCTCCTGAAACAGGTAGATGACAAGCCTCTGAAGGCAGGGGCTTTATAGGCTGAGCCTCCTTTGACCGGTACACAGCCCAGGAGAATGGCCAGCCCCATCTCTCTGGCTCCTACTCCCCCAGAACAGACTTCAGGCAGCAAAGCAAGTGTGGCTGTCCTCGTCTGTCCTCTAGAGCCCCAACCCTGTCCAGCCCCAGGCCCCGTGGCCAGTCCCTGTGGCCTTGCAGGAAGGGCAGCATTATCAACCAACTAGATTTTCCCATGAGATACACTGAACTTCACAGCCCGGCCAGCCTCCCTTCCTGCAAAACTGCCTCTTAAGGGGGGAGGTTGCCCCCAGGCCCAGGTACTCTCCCCCCCTTCCCCCTTATCTCCCCCCACTCCACGGTTCCCTCGCAAGACTTCTCATGGACGTGACCCCGGTGTGGGCCCCCTGTCCTGGCACGGCACAGTTTGGGAACTATGGGGAGCTAAACAAAAAGCACGGAAGTCCCTGCCTACGAGTAAGAAACTTTTCACCACCTCACGAGCTGCAGTAACAGCTTCGCTGTTTGCACTTTGCGGTCATACTTGCACACACACACACACTTACATTATACATACATATATATATGTGTATATATAGATATAGATCTATATATACACCATTTCTCAGAGAAAGAAGTATTGACATGAAACATAAGCCCCTTTAACTCAAGAAAAGCCCCCCCCCCACCCTTCCCAACCCTCCCTGCCTGCCAGTTCCCCCAAGGAAAAAAAAAATCTAAAAATATTTCCATCATCCACAGCCTTCAGGTTTGCTTTCAATTGCATTTGAACCTTTCTAAATAATGCACAGGGTGGACAGAGTCACCCCTCCAGCAAGGCCTGAGTTCTTCTCAGCTGGGTCACATCATTTCTGGAAAAGGAGAAGTCGTCCAGTTAGCATTTACAGGAGACAGACCCACGGCATAGGTCCGGCCAACACTGCCACCCCTTTCTACCCACGTCGGCACGGACGTGTCCCCTGGCCCGAGGGGGGGACTCAGCGTCGCCCTGACACATTGATAGGTTGTTCTTGTTGAGTGAGAAGCTTGTGAGATTTGTGCCTCCACTGCCACGCCCACCCCGTTCTGCCCAGACTCAGCGCGTGCTGAGTGCCCAGACTTGGCTCATTAAGAATCTAGTGAATTTTGTCTTCTCTCTTTTTTCCATCCTCATGTTGTGGACGCTCACCTTCCAGGAGAAGGTATTTGATGTCTTATTTATTTTCATCTGGACCAAACTTACAGCCGTCTCCCCCACCAGGACTCTCCTGAGGTGTTGGGGTGCTGGCAGAGAGCCAGGCTGCTAAGAAGTCCCCTTCAGTTCAGGAGACCCTGTCCTTATCCCTGGCTCTTTGCAGATGGCTCTGTACCAAGGCCATCTCTAGTGACCTTCTAGAGAAAGTTGATGACGTCATTTGCGTCAGAAACACCTCGGATGCTTGTTTCATGATGCATTTTCCACTCCAGAGTTACTGAGTCAGAAGTGCTGGGGTTGAGACCAGGAGCGTGTGTTTTAGGAAGCATCTTAAGTGGTTCTAATGAAAGCTAAGGCTTGTATGCCTTTGTTATAGATACCGGTTCTGAGTTTTTGGTCTCTGGAGTCATCAGCTGGAAATAACCTTATCCACATTAGGCATGTGCAGACTGGGAAGTGAATTATAAAAAGGATAAGAAAGTGAGCTGTAGGTGTACAAACCCAGATGACATATTGTACAGCTGCGTTCACACCATAGCCCATGTAAATGGCATCACCTAGGTTGTGCAGTGCATAGCCAACACAGCTGTATCTAGAAGCTCTGCTCAGACATTGCACATCCCTAATGTCCTGTGGTGGGAGAGCCCATGGCACCCTGCCCAAACAACTTATACAGCTGTCCTCATAGCCCTTGTGTCAGCTACAGTTATGCTGTCTGCCAGATCAAAGGATGCTCCTGTGTCCCTGGGGAACACAGGCCTGGCCTTTCCCTCTGAGACTGGCTAAGGTTGCTGCAGGGGTCCTAGAGATAACTCTGCCCAGGGGGGAGCCAATTCTTACCTGCAATCTGTACTTGCTTGAGCAGCCCCTTCTTAGAATCGGGAGGTGAAGTTCCTGAAGCTGTTTGGCCCAGTTAAGGATCCCAGCATGTTCCTATCCAAACCTTGCTGTAGAGGGGGGGAGAAACAGCATGAAACCGTATGAAACACCCTAGGCTGAAATAGAGTGGGACTTCCCACGGGGTCAGAAACTACCCTCCCAGAGTGTCCTTGGGCTTAAACCATAGCCCTCTGGGCTCATTATATATGTGTGTCAGGGCTAAAGCTGGCCTCATTTTTTTTAAGTTTATTTATTTATTTTGAGAGAGAGAGAGAGAGAGAGAGAGACAACAAGCAGGGGAGGGACAGAGAGAGAGGGAGAGAGAGAATCCCAGGCAGGCTCTGTGTTGTCAGCACAGAGCCCAATGTGGGGCTCGAACTCATGAACCGTGAGATCACGACCTGAGCCGAAACCAAGAGTCGGACGCTTAACAGACTGAGCCACCCAGGCGCCCCAAAGCTGACCTCATTAGTGCAACCAAACATAAGGCCATTAATATCCACAAGTTAGTAAAATGTGTCTGGACTTCCACCAGCGCTTGTGAATTTCCTACGTGGATTTGCAGAAATCTGTATTAAGGCACAAGGACTTACGCTCATATTCATTACTCTTTAAATAAAACAACAACCAACATCAAATTAGAAAAGCTGTTTGTTGTTCTTCCTTCTGACTGTCCCTGTCTTTTTCTTTCTTTCTTCTCTGTTTTTGTTTTTTTTTTTTTTTATTTTGGCATGAGCTCTCTGCAGGGGGGGACACATCTAGTGTTTCTCACACATACAGCAGGTGGTCAATAAATGCTCTGGAGTGAATGAGGATGGCAGAAGGGGCCCCTGGTGCCAGCCCTGAGCTCTGAGAACCTTGTCAGCTCTCACTGGCCTGTGGGAATGAGGGATCCAGACACCAGGTGGTTCAAAGTCCCAGGCCTACCTGGTCTGGGCACGAATCACATGATGCTGGGTTTTCCCCTGCGGATTTGCTTGCTTGCTCCTGTTGAACCTGGCTGGATTTGGTGGAAGGAGCCCAGGAGTGAGAATTCCTGGGTCTTAGCCCTGCCCCTGCCATGACTCACTGAATCAAGACAAACTCCTATTCTGCAGGATGGACATAAGCCACACAGCCTGCCTCTCTGTGGTGGTAACAACCTAATGAATGGGGGATGTGCAGATGCTTTGGGGGACAGAAGCACCGATCTAGTCACGTCAAAGCTGTTGACAACCACAGCTAGAGGGAGCAGTGGGGACCGGATGGCGAAGCTGGTTCCCATCGGTGCTGTACAGAAGAATGTTAACAAGAAGAGTCGCCGTGTGCCTCAGGCTGGGCGTGGCCTCAGTATTTCTGGGTGAGTTGAACCCTCTGGACCACGATCGAACAGCTTGAGGAAGTTCTCACCCCGTCCTCACCCACCTCCCTTCCACTGGGTCTCCCCGGCAGCTGCCATGTGGCCAAGCCTGCCCACGTTGCAGTGCTGGTGGGAAAGAGCACTGGATGGTCCAGCAGAGGACAGGGGCCACCGCCGGCCGTGGCCTTCAGGCTTCCCAGCCGTCTCTGACTACAGTAGTTCATGGGCCTCCCTCCAGTCTCCCTGCTGCGCTGGAGGAGGAACTGTTTCTCCTGCCCCAGGGCGGTTGTCTTCCAGTCTCCTCTTCTACACGGTCAGGCCCCTCCTGACCCTCCGCTCCCACCTGTTCCACAGTCTTCCTCAGCCTCCCCCCCCACCACCACTGTCCCCTGTTCTGCCGCCAACTCCTCATCTCATGATAGAGACGCTCGGGTCCCCTCTGTCATTAAACAGAGACCTTTTAACCCCTCCCTCGGTCTCCCTCCTTTCTGGGCCAAACTGAGGGGAGCAGTTCTCCTCTCTGCCCCACTCCGTCCCTCCCCAGCCCGGCTCCCCTGGCTTTGCCGGAAGTGCTCTTAGAGGTGCCCTGGGACTCCTGGGTCACCACATCCAGGGTCCTCCCTGGCGCCTCTGTGGCCCTGGGAACCGCTGCCTACCCTCTCCCGTGCTCTCCCCTCCCACTCGGGCTTTGGCCCCTCCTGGCCACCTTGTGCGGCTCCTCCTCGCTCCCTGGTCCTTCACACTCCTCGGCCCCCAAGTCAGCGCCTTCCCCATGCTTCTGCCCTTATTTTCCAAGACTCCTCCCCACACCTGTGCCCCGTGATGGTCCTGCCTGCTCTCATGGCTTCCACCTGCACAACGCTCCCATCTGTGTGGCAGCCTGGCCTTGCTCCTTGGGTCCCCCACTTGCAACCCAATCCAATTCCTTCAGACTCGACCTCTTCAAATCAGAACTGCCCTCGCTGTCCCCGCACAGCTTACTTGGCCTCTCCCCAACCGATCTGTTTGTGTTAACGCGGCCACAGTGTCTCCAGGCTACAACTCGAGCGTGGTCAGCCTGACCATTCCGTCTCTGTCCTTCTTCCGGCCTCACCGCTGTCTACATCTGGGTCTAAAGCATGGCAGCCGCAGGAGCGGGAAAGGTCAGTGTGAAGAGATTTTGGTAAAATAAGACCCCAGGTAGGACTTTGTGTTTGATGAGGTTGGGAGGTGTCGAGGACAGGGAGGAGCCAGGGTCACCACTGGGCAAATACAGCCGCCCCAGCATCTCTCAGTCCCCTCTGCCCCGCCCCTGGGGAGGAGGGAGGCTGCCAAGTGTTGCTTTAATCACTCAAAACCCCTAGTGGCTCCCCTCTGACAAGGGCAAACTCTCAAAGAAATTAGAGGGGTCTGTGCTGTAGCCCAAACCTTCCTTTCCAGCCACAGTGCACATCACGCCCTCGAGTGAATTCCTGGTTTTCAGTTTGCTCCTAGAAGATCCTGCCCCAGGCGTCTCACACATTTCCTTGATTTCCTCTCCCCTCCGTGCACTCAGCACCTCCCCCGAGTCCGAGCCTAGAGATTTGTTCAGAGTGTGATCACTTTCACCATCATGCACATTTGTCTCTACTCCTTCCGTCCGTCCGTCTGTCTGCAGTGCGGCTCAGTCACGCCCACTGGGCAGGGCGGGCCATTCTGCTTCTCTTCTTGGCCCTCAGCGCTGCAAGGGGAGCTGCAAGACAGCTTCACTGGCCGGGGGTGACAGGGCGGGCCCTTACCTGTCTGAGGACACCCTGCAGCTCCTTGCTGGACCACATGTCAGACAGGAGGAGGCGGGCAGCTTCTGCGGCCTTGGGCGAGGTGCTGGGCAGGCAGGAAGTTCATTTGTGGGATGAGACTCAGGGAGGCATGAGAATGATCACCCTGCTCCCTTCCACCCTCACCTCCAGGTCTTAGCGATGCGGGGAGGCCCCAGGGGTGCATGAGAAAAGAGCCTTGTTGGGCTGGTCCCACCGCACAGTGGGCACAACCTGGCTGCCCTGCCCACTTAGAAGTAGCCTGGGATTCTCCTCGGGGGCTGTGGGGGGAAGTTCTCTCCCATTCTGGTTCCCCAGCCCTTGTCCTGGGAGGAGAAAGCCCCATGGGGCAGAATACAGTTCCCACATGGTGGGGTCTGTGCCTCCATGCCTCCTGTTGGTCCTCTAAGGACTCCTCGTCCCCTGGTGACCCCCAGCTGAGAAGGTGCTGCCTCTGTCCCCTTTGTGCAGCCCCGAGGCCTGGCAGCTGGGCTCAGCTCCACAGCGCTCTTGGCTTCTGGCACTTCTCTGCATTCAAGCCTCCCCTGCCCAGGTTCCTGCCCTGCGCTGGGTCCTGCTCTCGCTGCACATCTGCGCCTTCTCAGAGGGTTGTGGGGCTGCCTGCTTTGCAGTGTGTGGGGGGTGGAGACCACTGCCCTCCCCGCCCACCTGCTGCGGCACAGGTTGATGATGTTGTTGACCATGCTGCTGGAGAAGTACTGCTTGGCCATCTGCGGCTGGGAGGCCATCAGGTTCCTCACAGTGTAGCAGGCTGAAGACAGGATGTCTTCCGAGTTGCTGGTGTTCCCAGTGTGACTGGTGAGGAGCCTGGTCACCTCTGGGAATACTTGGTTCCCTGAGAGAGAAAGGAGTGGAGGGCGCGGGGTCAGATGACCGGAGGAGAGAGGGGCTGAGGGGCTCCCTCTGGGACCACAGTCCTGCGCTGACCTCAGCCAGGTTTCTAGCAAGGTGGCCCTTGAAGGCTCCATTCTAGCTCCAACTCAGGGCTGAGGACCCAGATGGGATCTCTGCACCCCTGCCCTTTCCTACCTCCAAGCCTCTCTTGGGCCAGCTTCCCCTCTTGGAACGCTCACTCTAGGGAAAGTTCAGAGGGTGACCTTCCAGCAGGCTCTGGAAAGTGAGGGCTCTGCCGAGTCCTAGCTGGAGGGTGGGGGGAGAGGGGTGGTCTGACGCTGTGGTGGGCACTTACCCATCACTCTGTGCAGCACAGGGTGGCGGGACATGTTGCTCAGGAGGGAGGCTCCGGACCGCACCACATCAGAGTTGCCAGATTGCAGGAGGCGAGCAATCTGGGGCAAGCCCTTTTCCTTGAGCCCAATCAACTGGCTCATACCACTGGACATCTGAGAAAGAAGGACGGGGTGAGGACCTAGCCTGGGGTTTCCCGGGCACCATGGTGGAAGAGGGCCATGTAATCCCAAACAAAAAAACCCTGGAACCTTTTCCCTCTCTTGTTAGAAGCACAGGCAAAGAGGGACACCAATTCGCTCACACACTGGCAACTACAGAGCACCCAGGCAAAAATGTGCCCCCATCTTTCCTGACCTTGCTCTCTTCTCCCAGCTCAGCCTGGAGCCAAGATGGGTGATGAGAGGGACGTCTCAGACCCCTGGCTCATGGAGGCCCCGACTCGACTCCCAGTCTAACAAAACTGTCAGATGCCACTGCTCACCTGTTTGTCTCAGCTCTGTTCCCCCCACCATGCCCACATTTCCCAGCAGTATCTGCTCACCCAAAAGCACACGGTCAATGATATTTGTCAATTACCGAGGCGCTGACCACCTTCCAACTTCCATACCTCCGTAGAATTCCATACATATTTGTCGAGTACTTTCCCAGGGCAAAAAGGGAGAAGAGAGGCTCTGTGCCCACGTGGAGGTACAATCCAGGGCCCCCTGGAGGTGGGTCAGCTCATCTGTGCCTCTAGCCACAAGGCCAGCCCGTCTGTAATCTGGTCCCAGGCTGGTTTGGAGTTCTTGAAGACCCCCAGCCCCATCCTCTCATAGACTTCAATTCGCCCCGGTCCTGCTTTCACCTGATTCTCTTTTGTCCTCAGTAGAGATGAGCGATTGTTGACTGTCTCCCCATCTAAATCTTGTTGGCTGCTACAGGCCTCCTATGGCTCAATGTCATTCCATCATGTCCTCCTAACTCTATGTGGCCTCAAAATCTCTACTGATTCTGCATCGTCTTCCTTTAGATCTGCCCAGCCCCAAACCATCTATTTTTCCCTCTGTCAGTTCAACACTGACAGGAGGAGGATACTCCTCCTACCACAAACGTACCCTTCATCCCTGTCCCCCACCCCAGGCAGGGGCCAACACCGAGCCAGGAATCATGAGGCAAAGGGGACTCTGTGGGCACAGACAGAATCCAACGGGAGTGGATTCACCCGCTAGACACCGCCTGGGAGTTCCCAGAGGGCCGGGCCATTTCTACTGCCTCATCGTTTCCCCAGAGGACTGGCTGGAGCCTAGCATATGACATTCCCTCTGTTTGCATCTGTAGAGCCAAGCTCTGAGGGCCATATGTGTTTGGCATGACTCAGTGCACACGCCTGTGGGAGAGCAGGGAAGGGAGCAGAAGTTGGAGAAATAGGGTTGGGGATGGGGGTGGGTGCAAGGGCGGACGCCGCTCCTCACCAGCCCCTTGCTGGCGGTCAAGTTCTGCAGGGCACCAGCACAGGCCTCCAAGGTGGCATCTTTCTTGCTCTTGCCCATGAGGTTCAGGTAGGTGCGGATAGCATCCGAGTGGTACAACCAGCTGCTGCCCTTGGGATTGGTCTCTTCCTCCGGAAGGGGGCAGTCGTAGTTGTTGTTCTGAGGACACAGGACAGGTCAGCAGGGAGCCTTGTGAAGGGAGGGAGCCCAGCATTCTGTGTGCCCTCCCCCAACTCTAGGGGCCTGGTTCCTGAGGGAAGGGGCCTAGGAAGCACCTGCCCCGGTGCCCTTTTCCTCATGGCGGCAGTAGCTCCGCAGAATGAGTAAGGCAAGGGGCCATGGTCCTGCGGGCTGGCTCTGAGGGAGGCAGAGAATAATCTAGAGATCGCAGGAAGTGTGCTGCAGGCCAGCCTCTGCCCAAACCTTCCAGCTGCGTCGGGCTGCTTTGGGGTCTCACACCAGGATGCTTCCTCTCCTCCCAGAGTCAGACTCCAAGGCTGACCCACCCTGGGTCAAACAGGGGTGGTCCAGGGGCCCAGCAGCCACAGTTGTGCCCAGTGTGGGGAGCCTGACCCTCCCTCCAGAGCACCCTTCTGCTTCTGGTGGCACCTGGGGGACTCGGGGGTTGGCGGGAACCAAGCCAGAGAGGGCTTAGAGTCCTGGCTGCCCCCAAACCTTCCACAGTAATGGAGAAGATGAGGCAGGGTTTACCAATTACACGGTAAGCGAGAATGAGCTGTGAAAACAGAGGACCGGAGCTTCTGAGCTTGGGACGGTCTGAGCTCCCACCGTCAAGAACACAGATCCCGTCTGCATGCGAGACAGAATGCCCTCTACTCAGCTCCCAGGGTGCAGCACAATCCTAAGGCCAAGGCTCTGGCATGGGCTTGTCTCCTACGGCTGGTTTCAGGCTTCGGGGGGACGGGGGCAGGGAGGAAGGGGTGGGCCAGGCAGCTGAGCCCAGCGGGGTGCTTGGCGGGCAGCAGGCCCTGGTTCTGTGAACCGACTGTGCTCACCATCATCTTATCGCTCTTGTTGCTGAAGCAGCCGGTGGAGGACTTCTCCGTGTAGGCATTGCGGGCGTTATACTCCAGCTGGCGGTAGCGGGTGGGCACCTCGGCGTCCAGGCGGTAGGAGAGGTTGTGCAGGATACACATGCAGTTCTCCACAGACTAGGGGCCAAGCAGAAGCAAGGCGCCTGAGCCTGTGCCCTTCCCTGATGGCGTCCTGGGCTCACTCCCTGCCCTAACTAATGGGAGAGAGGCAGGCACCTTAGGCTGCCCCAGGAGAGAGGAACACAGCCACCCACCGCAGTCTGGAAAAAGCTCCCAGTAACACTCCCCAGAATCTGGATTTGAATCCAGTTCTGTCATTTCCTAGCTGTGTGAAACGTCATGGCTTTCTTCAACTTCTGGGCCCGTTTCCTCAGTGGTAAATGGGACTGACGTCGCCTACTTCATCGGGCTATTGGGAAGATTATACATGGAAGTGCCTATCGTGGGGCCTAGCACATGGTAGGACACAACAGACAGTGGCTACTATTTCTTTTCTTTAGTTTATTTGTTTTGAGAGAGAGAGAGAGAGGGAGAGCAACTGGGGCAGAGAGAGAGAGAGAGAGAGAGAGAGAATCTCAAGCAGGCTCCATGCTGTTAGCGCAGAGCCTGATGCCGGGCTCGATCTCATAAACCGTGAGATCATGACCTGAGCCGAAATCAAGAGTCAGACGCTTAATGGACTGAGCCACCCAGGTGCCCCGACAGTGGCTACTGTTTCTCTTGCTACAGCCATTGTGCCAATGGTCAGATTGGGCTATTAAAGAACATACCCTCTGTCCTGGCACAGACAGGAGCAGCTTTGACATATTTAGGTTCAAAAGCCATTGAGTCCCCATGTCCCTGTTATTCCCTCCTTTCATGGCTAGTCCTCAGCTTCCAATACCAAAGGTGCTGACCCATCCCAAATCTACACGAGCAGTGGGACCTGGGACCCAGTACTTTGCAATGGCAGCTGCTCCTAGGTCTTTGCCATCTGTCCTCAGTGGACAGGCTGGGCTTTGAGACAGCAGACTTACCTTCCTAACGATGTTCGGCCCTGCTAGGGTTTGAGGGAATCAGACTTGCACGGTCTGGGTTCCACAGGTAGAGGGGATGTTGCATCCAGAGTTGAAAAACATGATGTCCACTGGGACCTGGCTGAACATTCGAGTGACTCTCTCTCTCTCTCTCTCTCTTTCTCTCTCTCTCTCTCCTGAGGCCCTGTTGTCACTTCCAGTGGATGAGCAGGAGACAAAAATCTCTCCACAGGGAAACTGTGCAAGACCCAGTGGCCGTGATGCCCAGACAGTCCCCTGGTCATCTAGGGACTCTGGGAACTCACTATTCTCCTGAGTGTCTGTCCTGCCGTGGTAGAAATATCTCAGCCTTCAGTTTCTCTTTCCTCTGTGATTTTTCCTTTCTGTCTGTTTGTGCTAGTGTGTCCAAACGTCCAGAGGGGACAAGAGGGTGGCTTTGCCAATGGTCTCTTTGGCAGGTGGTGGGAAACTGTGGTAGAAGGAGCCTTGGTGCAGGAAGGATCCCTGGGGCCATCAGTGGGGTTCCTTAGGGCTGCAGGCAGGGCTCAGCACTGCCAATGCCAGTGGGGGCAAATGCTCACAGAGAGCTCCCTCTGTGTCCGGCTTTCTTCACGCTTTGCTTATTAACTAATTGAGCCCTTCAACCAGCCCATGACATAGATATGATTGTGATTGTCCCCGAATGAGCACAGTGCAAACCAGGAAACAGACATCGTGGAAGCGTCTGCATTCACAAAGCCTGTAAGCGAGGAAGAGGGGATTCTGCCCCTGTAACACTGCCCCAGGCCAGCAGAGCTCTCTGCATCCAGCCATCCCCTTCACTGGCCTTCTGTCCTGTCACCAGACCATGCCTTCAGGGCCCCCCTCAAGTGCAGACCTGCCTCGTGGAGCCTGGGAAAGAAAAATGTCAGGACCTGGAGGCCAAGGAGCTGCCCTCACTGATCCTGGGGAGGTCCTGGGCCTTGGAGCTCCGGACAGAGAGGAGGACTGGGGGCCGGGGCCAGAGAGGGGTGGGACGCTCACCTTGTCATCACAGCGGCTGGCGGCCACGCAGTTCTGGACATAGGCCATGAGGGAATCAATGAGCCCCGTGTAGTTTCGCATGGTCTGGCGGCCTGCATCGGCAGAGCTCAGGTTCCTGAGGGAGAGAACAGAGAGGCTGTGAGGATGCAGGGGAGGAGGGAAGCGGGTAGAGAAGAGTGTGGTTGGGGGGCACGTGGGGGAGAGAGCAGGTGGGGGAAGTAGGGGCAGAGGAGATGGGGATGAGTTTGGAGGTGTGGCAGGAGGAGAACAAGGCAAAAAAAAAAAACAAAAAAAACAAAAAACAAAAAAAAACAAGGAAGAAGGAAAGAAAGAAAAACCATTCAGCGGATTCTGCCCGGTCCTGGTTGAGGTTGGATGGGGTCTCCTTGAACTCAGTTCTTTTCATCCTTCTTTCTGCCCCCCTGGGCTCCAGGCCTGTAACTTTCATGACTGTCCATGGCTCTAGCGTAGCTGGCAGGTCGAGGCACGCTCCCTACCACTACTGGGCACCTGTTGAACAGGGGCTGGAAGCTTCTACCTGCCCAGTTTATTTCTGTGGAGGAGGAGAAGCTCTGTAGGGTGCTGGGGCCAAGGGCTGGATCTGGGAAAGAAGCCCAGGGGTGCTCCGCTGGGGGCCAGATGCCCCCTCCACAAGGAAGCTGTGTTCTGCCTCAGCAGTGAGCTCCTTTCCAAGCAGTCTGGGCCCATTTTCCTCTGCAGGCGGGCTGTGGCTGCTGTTGCTATTAATAGCCTTGCAGCCCCTTGAAGTCCTTAATACCCTGACTTTGCTCATTGGAGGCCACTAATGGAGGCTGACAGGGAGGAGCATAAGCTGAGAACACAGAAGCACCCCCCAACTGCACCCCTCATTCCGGGGCTCCTAGGAGTTGGGAAAGATGAACCCCATCAGAGCAAGGTGTGACCCTAGTGGGGATCTGTTTCACTGTTCCACCTCTACCCTAGCACCCATGACCCCACTGGTAAACCTCTCCTCTGGAATGAGCACACCAAGGTCCCTCCTCCAACAGCCCCCAGGGGCCTTGCCTCACCCTGGTATGAGACTCAGGAGACTCTGGAAAGAGCAGTGCCACCTTTATGCCAATGAATATGGCCGTTGGTCTTAGCACCACAGCTGGGAAGTGACTCATTTAGGAGCCCATCAGCAGACTTTTGTCTAAAAGAACACTCTTCAAGAGAGTACAAGAAATGCATTTTTGGGGGGCGGGAGGGGGGGAATGGTTGAGCCAGTTTGGATATTCAGATCTGGCATTTCTACTCTTAGATTTCTAACTAAGTCTGCTGAGGTCCCTTACAGGAGGTCATGGAGTCCTGAGCCTTATCCAGATCCAGGGAAGTTAGGGATGCTGGAGTCCCATTTCTTGGAGTCTGCCCTTGAAGACCAATGCCAGACTGCATTTTACGTCCCCTGCCCTAGGCTGGCCGAGATGGGGCTGCCTGGAGAAAGGCCCAGGGCTGGGGCAAAAGGACCCCAGGGACACGCTCTTCTCTCACCTTAAGCAGCCTGTGGCATTGAAGAAGACCTCAGGGTCCACTATTTCCCGGGTCATGTTGCTGTTGCCATCACACCAGCCGGAGAAGGGAATGATGACCCGGTCAGCCAGCACAGGCAGGGCATCGGCGATGAGTTCCACCTTCAGCTCATCAGTGGAAGACAGGTTCCAGAGCAGCCCTGGAGGTTGGGGATGGTCAACTCAACACATGGCAGGCTCAGGAAGACCCCAGGTGCCGAGGTGCCACCCCCAGCCTGCTCTGGCAAGGGAGCCCTACTGAAACATCGTCTTCCAAGTAGGCCTGGTCTATCAAATCTAGTGTCTGATTATTTCCTGAGCTCATTTTCCAATGTCTCAACAAGACTTCAGGTTCTTTGAGGGCAGGGAGCATCTAGAGTTCTTTATCGAGGTCAAAATTATGAATGTGCAAAGTCATCCAGAAACGTTTAGTTTCTAATATAAATGTTAGCGCTAGAGTCTTCTAATGTTCTCTATTTGCCACCTGAAGGTCATTCCAGAAACACTTATCACGGTTACTCTGTACGTGGTCTCATCTCCCAGTCCAGTCTGAGGGCTTCCTAGTTCCTTGTAACCCTTGCGCCCCAGGCCTGAGTGCTTAGCATATTGTTTGGACACAAGAGGGCGCTTAAGACCTGAAGTTCCAACTTCACGTCCTCCTCTTCGTCTGGAAATCCCAGGGTCTGTTGAATATGGATCCTGCCTGGACACCAGCCTTCTACCCCTTGCCTTCTATCTTCAACAAGGTTGACACCTTGTGGGTAGGCACCATGTGGACGCCACTAACCTGGCCACCGTCAGTACCATGGGGCTCCCAAGACATTAGCCGGAGGTCAAATGTGCACCTGTGCTTGGGCCCAGACTGGAGGGAATGCCCTATACACCACCCACCCCCAACCCTAGCTCTCCATGGCTGGGGATCCCTACCAGTCAGTTGTTTCTGGATCTCAGTGCTCCCGGTTCTCCTCAGGAGGTTGACAGCCTCTCGGATCCCATTCTGCCTCCGGGTCTCCAGCTTGTTGGTGATGCTCCGGAACACCAGGTTACGCAGGGCCCCAGCCGCAGCCTGCTGGACGTTCTGGTTGGGGCTCCGGAGGAGGTCCACCAGCTTGCAGATGCCTCCCAACTGATAGACCTGTTGACATACAGGTGCCACATGGGCCAGTCAAGGAGGTGAGGCTGATCTGATGACACTACTCGAAGTGATTTTTCTCAGACCCCAAAGTCTACTGTCAGCTCAGAAATATTCAAGCCAGCCAAAAAAAAAAAACCAATGTGGAGTAATAGTACTCAGAAAACCAAGATGTAATCAGACCAGAAACCAAGATGGATTCCAATGCCAGCGCCCTCACATCCTCGGCAGGAGACCCTCAGCAAGGCAGTCCTCTGTTCTGAGCCTCACTTTTCTCCTCTGAAATACGGTGGTGAGGACAAGAGGACATGGTTATAAATATACTTCAAAAGTCCTAAAGCAGGACAGACATAAAGGAGACCCTCCCATGGGAACTTTCTCCTGTGACAGGAACTCTGATTCGGATGGATCTAGAATCTCTAGGAAACACATTTCAGGCACCGTTCCCTGGGGCTGAGCTGCGGAACCCTATAGGCATCCTTCCTGCCAGCCAAGCTCGGGGGGGCATGACCAAGCCCCAGTTTCCAGCACACATGCCTGGGGAGAGAGAGGATCAAGCTCTGGAAAGGGAGAGAGAGATGGAGACAGAGAGGCAAAGAGACAGAGACAGAGAGACAGAGAGACAGATAGAGGGAAGCGGGGGGAGGGAGTTGAAGGGTGGAAAGTAGTCATACTCTTTAGTGGAATGTGAGAAAGGGGATTTCTGGTGAACTCACAGCTGTCTCTTTCATGATCAGTGGAGGAAATTCCTGACTAATGTCCACTCACCTGGAGGGTTAAGATGCCCAGCTGTGATCTCAGGCAATGCCAAGCACACTGCTCACCCAAGGCAGCTGGGCAGGGTGAGAAGGAGCAAGTGCAGATGTCCCCACCCATGTCTAAATGGGGTCAGGCTGACACACCCAGTCCCTGCCCAGGTCTATAGGGGAGGAGGGTGTGTGGTCAGTTACCTGCTGCTTGGCTGATTCATCCTGGAAGCAGGTGTGCTGGATGTAATAGGCCCCGATGGCCTGGTACTTCTCATCCTGGGAGCTCAGGTACTGCACGGCCTTGGGGATGGTCAGCCCACTGCACTCAATATCCTCACTGCAGATCCTGTGGGCAACGGGCAGTGGGGGGAGGGGGGTGGTTACCGGGTAGGCTGGGAGAATTTCCCCTTGTATGCCCAAGCTGGCACAGCCTCATCTGCAATCTGGAAAGCCAGAACAAGGCAGCCCTAGGCCCACTTGGAGAACATTCCTGTGGAACAGCTCTTCCAGAGGAGGGAAAAGGCTCATCCACGGCGAACACTCACTGTGATGAAATCCAGGTCATGGGTCAATATCCAAACAGGTAAATTACCTCTGCACCAAGACAAAACTCTGCCCTATTCCCAAGAGGAAGCTCCCCACCCCTCTGCCATCTTTCTTGTTTGTGCCTGGTATTGGGAAAATGGAAGAGAATGGCTGTGAGCCTGTCCAACTGTCCATCCATCCATCCATCCATCTTCCATCTTCCTTCCCTCCTGTCTCTATCCATCCATCCATCCATCAATGCAGCCATCTGCCCTCACTCCCTTTGTTCCAAAGTCCAGCTAATTCTTCTTACAAAGATCCTCATACCTGCTTCTTCTTCCCAACCTCACGGTCACTGCCTTCCTTCTGACCATGATCACTCTCACTGGAACTACAGCAAGAGACCCTCACAACTGGCTCTCTTCTCCAAGCTCCGTCATCCAAAATTTGACTCTCCTTTTCCATACTCACAGTCCTAAAACGTGGTTCACTGTGTTGTTCCCATCGGCAGGTTCAAGTGCAGACTGCTTAGACTAATATCCAAGGGCACATGTTAAGTCGAACCATGTGAAAGGGTTGATAGTCAACCTTTTTGAGCCATAAAACTAAAAATTTCATGTTTTAACCTAATAGCTTGGCTCTCTGCTAAGCCCTCTTGCACACTCTCCAGCCCCTAACAAGGTCTGCTCCAGCCTGACTCTTCTCTTCACTGACCCCTCATCAGGGCTCGGGTGTACCCCTTTCCCTTCCCCTCACGGTACATGTGACCTGCTGAGGTCCTGCTGCTGTGAACATTCCAGGGCAAGGAAACCTTTCTCCTAGGAATCCTTCCAGCTTCTGTGATGTTGAGTCTCAGGCTGCCTTTCCACCTGTCTGTGTCCTGGTTGCCAACAGAGATGGAAAGTTCCTGAGGGCAAGGACAGCCCCTTCTATGGCACCCAGCCCTACCCCCCTGGAAATCTCCCCAGCATTTCTAGAGGAAGCCCTCTTCTCACTTTTACTAGCCTCAGTCTTGCCACAGTAAATGCTCAGTAAGAATTCATAGTTTTAGTGTGGCATCCTAACTCCATTTCTGGAAAAACTGCCCAAGGGGTGAAGCTCTCCTGTCTTGTATGAGCAGCACCCTGGCCCTGCACTGAGAAAATGTCACATCTGCCAGTCAGACATCATCTCTAAATGGCTTGACATTCATCCCCTCCCATGTCTTACCTAGACCTTGACCTCTCAGGGCCTCTGGTTTGGGGCAATAAGCTAGGGCTAGACGCTGCCCTGTTCCTTGCTCCAAGGGAGAGGGTTTCTTGGTCCTTCTCCGAATCATCCTAAATATACCTTATGGCCTTTGAGTAGTTAGGAGAGGTCCAGCTCTACCTCGGGATTCAGCTTAGTATTAAAACAGTGGTGAATGGGGGAGAGTGTGGGAATGCTTTAGCAGCTGTGTAGCCTTGGGCAAGCATCTCTGTGCCTTGTTTCCTCCTCGGGAATTCTAACACCTGCCTAGAGGGGCTATGAGGACTAGAGGTGAAGAATGCAAGCTCCTGGCGCTCTAGGAAAAGCAGTTTATCAGTTAATTGTGTAGCTCTGGGACAGCTCTAGGCCGCTCTGTTCCTAGCTGTGTCCCTACACTTACCACACTTCCCCAGCACAGGAGATGCTTAGTGAATGTTTGTCAAATAAATGAATAAACGATCATTAAGCGGTGATAAGGAACAGTTTGGAGGTTCATGGGGCTCTGAGCCCTGGAGGGCAGGCTCAGTGTCCCCAGAGACACTGTGGCCGTCCGCAAGCCCCCCTGTGCCCGTGGCTCTTGACGGGACACCCGCCTTCGTTTCCTTCATTCTCACTGGGTGACGGGCCTTCAGTGTTGAGGGACAAGGGTTGTACTCTGTTCCTCAGCACTAGCTCCGGTTCCTCAACTTTTATGTCTGTTTGTCTTGGCCGTCTTTTGTCCTATAAGGTGGAACAGGGCCCCTTTCCCATCGTCTACATCAGGGCAAACTCTTTGGCTCTTCCAGAACACGGATAGAGATGTGCATGGCTAAGATCACAGATTCCCCGTCCCCTGGAGGGCTTGTTAAAACACACACTGCTGGGTCTCTCCCTGAGTTCCTGAGTCAGTAGGTCTGGGTGCAACCTGAAAATTAGCATTTCTCACAAGTTCTGGGTGATGCTGCTGCTGCTGTTGGGAGGCATACGCTTTGAGAACCATGAGCCTAGCTAACCTTCTCTAATTAGCCTCCCTCTGTTCATAACCCGTGACCCTTTAGAACCTATATACTCAATGCATCTGTTTGAATGTCTGGGTTCTGTCTCCCCCTTCACACTTCCTGAGGCCAGGAAGCACCCCCCTCCCCACCGCTGCCCCCGCAGGGACAACGAGCCCCTTGGGGACAAGAGGCCGTCTTTCCTATCATCAGCAACAACCTTGTGTAGTACAGTCAGGCGAACTCCGTCTCCTACCTGGTCCCCACCCCGGCCCCCAACACAGCCTGGCAGCACTTACTTGGAGCTGGCCCTCGAGTGACCAAAGGACAGGTCCTTGTTGCAGGAGATGGGCGGGATGTACACCGGGTCCTGCTTGGAGGTGCAGGAGGGCGGGCGCACAGGGCACTTCTTGACCGCCTTCTGGCCACTGCAGGTGCTGTAGAAGCTATAGCGGTTCTGGGTGGTCTTTTGGCCCTTGTTGCTCAGTGTGCCCTTGCGCAGGGTGCCCCGAGGGTCACAGTAGAGGTCGGGCTCGCTGCGGCTCGCCTTGATTTTCTGCATGAAGCAGATGTCGCTGCCGGCGCCCGTTGCGTTACAGCTGCCCCGTTGGTAGTGCCGGCCCCAGTTCTCCATCTGGCTGTAGGAGCTGAAGCGTCTGTTGTCATTCTCCCGCTTGAGGGTCCCATTGTAGATCTGGTCAGAGAAAGGGAGAAAGGCTCAGTCAAGGTTCCTGACCGGGGATTCTGGATCCAGCTGGCCATGGGGCAGAGTCCGCCCCCCGCCCCTGTGATAATGTTCGTGGAATCCCAGAATGTTTGGAGTGGAAGGAATCTCAGCCATCATCTGATATATTACTTTTCAAACAGCAGATTGCGACCCATTATGGATTGGGAAATCAATTTAGCCGATTGTGACTATCATTTAAAAAAAATGGAATAGACTAGTATATACTGGAATGTAAGCTCTCCGAGTGCAATGCCGCGAGTAGAGACACTCCTGGTGGTGTGACACAGCACGTGGGTGCTGGGCTGCGATGTAAGATGTACGTCCTACAGTGGGTTGTAGCCACCAACCCAGCCCTCCACGGCCTTGTCCAGGTGGGGAGTCGGAGGCACAGAAGAACTCAGTGAGGGAAGGGCAACCCTGGACTGAAGCCCAGTCCCTACACCCTTGCCCTGTCACCTCGTGCCATTCCCAGACACCGGCAGCTTCCAACACAGCCAGCCTTGCTTGGCCACTTGCACTCAGGGTGGGGAAATCTCTCCTATTCTGGCCAGGGCTGTTTTCCACTGTTATTTCTCTGTTGAACTCCTCACGTTGCCTCCCCTCTGCCAGGGCAAGAAGCAAATGGTAACGGGCCCTCCGGGGGAACCCCTCACAGGCCAAAGAGAGAAAATACTTCTGCTACTGCGCCACCTTTTACAAGAGTGCCTGCGCACAGGGAGGCAGGCCAGGGGCTTAGGGTGGGGCGCAAGGGGACCTCCTGGGCTTCGTTGTCCAGCTTGCAGTGGGGAGAGGCTGGGCAGAGGCTCAATCCAACAGGAAAACTTATGGTAATGAAGCGACCCCCAGGGCTCTGTGTGATCTTGCTCAGGGATGCAGCTTCCCTGGGAAGAGCCTGCAAAGCTGAAGGTTTGGTGGGAATGAGCTCGGAGCAGATCTGTTCGAGGGGGACTTTCCCAGGAGCTCACAGGCCAGTGGGCCTGCCTGCTCTGACTTGTTCTCAGACTAGAGGATAACACCGAGCCTGATAAAATGTCTCCACACAGGTGCTGACTTGGATCTCACCTTTGCTGGGATGAGCCAAGGCCAAGTCTAGCAGCCCGGAGCCTGCCTGCCCCACCCCATGAGTGTGTGTGTGTGTGTGTGTGTGTGTGTGTGTGTGGCAGAGGTGGTTGGGCAATTGGGTTATTCTCCTCCACACCACATCTAGCCACACAAGGCTGGGGAGGGGACTTCTCTTGGCCAGTGCCCTTTCGTCTCTGCAGGAAGACTCTCAGCAGGAAGCCACCCATGGGTTGAGGTCCCAGTAAGGGGTGGCATCCAAAAGTCACAAGACGGGGGGTGGGAGGGAGGGGAGGGGAGGTGATGGGTATTGAAGAGGGGATCTTTTGGGATGAGCACTGGGTGTTGTATAGAAACCAATTTGACAATAAATTTCATATATTTAAATTAAAAAAAAAACACAAAAGTCACAAGCCACAAAATTTTAACCTTCACAACGGTGCTCTCATCAGCTCCACCCACATGCTCAGCTGGGCACTCCAGTGGGCACAATTTTCCTCCTTAAACTGGGTCAAACCAACCTACCCCAAAGGGAACAGGTGCCGGGGAGACATAAATGAACAATAACAGGCAGAGGGAAGAGAAGTGATGAGCGTTTTTGACGGGAACTCGGAACTCGCATTTTGTAGCACCTTGTAGACTTTACCTGCAAAATATGCAATTAGGCCTCCCCTGCTTTAGGCCAATGGCCACACCCCTCTCAACTTCATTCTCCCAGGATGCGGGGAGGTGATGATGGCACTTTGGAGGCAGGCTAAGCCTTAAATGGAAATGCAACAAGGAACTCTCTTGTTCTCAGTAAATGACACCCCTGGACGTCATCTCAGATACCTGAGGAATCCAAACACTCATCCTGGACCAAACCCAGCAGAAATGTGATCACGCTGATGAAGCCTGACAGAGGCTTTGGGCTTTGCTCTCCCGGGCTGGGAAAAGGAGGAGCAGGCAGCCCTGCCAAGTCTTGGTGAGGGTGGGCTGCCCACGGGGAGTGGGGTTGGATGTGCCCGCAGGGGTCAGGTGTGGTGGAGAAGGCAGGGCTGTCCCCGTGGGACTGAATTTCCTGCCCCGCCCCCCGCAGCTACATCCCAGTGGCGTCACCCATTCCTGGGAGCCCCACCCCGGCTCTTGTATCATGGCTGCTGGCTGCTGTGCTGTCTGCTGGTGGCTGAGGATAGCTGTGGGTGACTCTCCCGTCATCATCACTTTGACAGGTGGGAACCGAGCTTCCTCTCAGCCAGGCCCTTTTCTGCCCTAGCGCCACAGGGAGTCTGCATTTACCCCTCTAGGCTCAGACAAGGCCGGCTATCACCAGTCTTCTGGGCACAGATGGCCTGTGACCTTTCCCTTTTCTGCCTATCAGGACGAGACCTTGGGACTCCAGGTGCATTCCTCTAGCTCACCGGGCAGAGGGGGCTCGGTGGTCAAGAACACAGAGTCTGGAGCCACACGGCCTGGGCCGAGTCCTGGCCATGTCAATTGCTCAATGGGTGGCCTCGGCCAAGTTACTTAAACCCACCATGCCTCAGTTTTTTTTACATCTGTCAAACTGGGAACATAATTGTATCCAGTGTTGGGAGACTTCAGTGAATGAGCGTTTCTGAAGTGCTTAGGACAGTGCATGACATAAATGTTTGTTTAGTAGGGCCATCTGTATCCCTCTGATGCTCAGACTAGACACAGACTGGTGGCATGTAGGACCTGGTTGAGGGTTTACATCACCCAAGCCACACCTAAAGGAGCGACCAGGTTGGCACATGAGGGGGATGAACCCAGGCCAGCTCCAGCCCCGGGTAGGGGTACCCGCTAGTATTTAGAACCCATGCTAGTCTCACCCAATGGCCACAGAATAGGCCTCAATAGGTTTCAGAAAAACAAAGGAGTGTGGTCTGCCTGTATGACTTTATGTAGGGATGACGCAGTGTTTCTTTACGTGGGTGCTGTCGGCATTTGGGGCAGGACAATTCTTCATTGTGCAGGTTGTCCCAAGTATTACAGGTGTTTAGCTGCCTCTGGCCCCCAGGCCCTAAATGTCAGTACGCCATGCAGCCATTGTGACCAGCAAGAATGCCCCCACACGTTTCCAAACCCACCCTTTCAGATCCTGAGCAAGCACCTGCAGCCAGAATGGAATACGAGGGCAGTGTGCACACACGTGCCCATGCCCACGGCAGGTGGGAGAGCTTCCCTACCAGTGCCGGGTCTCCCAGACACACCCCACACTCAGATAGCGATCTTCTGGCAGCGTCCTCTGCTTTGAATACAAAGGACAGTGAGACACACACACACACACACACACTCCTTGTCTGGTTATCTCATGCTTCCTTGGGAAACTCCAGCCTCAGGTGGGATGGTCCATGCATCAGAACATTCCAGTGGCTAGTAACTTGACTTTCTGGGGGCAGAGCTGACCCTCAACCAGAGAACAGGCTGGGCTGGACAGCCAGGGGGAAGTCCAGGCTGTGTCCAGACAGATATGCTTCTCCACCTGGAAGATCAATGGGGCTCTGGGGAGGTCAACTCGTGGAACCACCTTCCAGGTGGGCTAGAGAAAGCTGCTCTTAGCAAGGAGCCTCTCCTAGCCAAGTCCTGCTCTGCTCCCCCTTGTGCTAATGACTTAGGTCTTGTAGCTAACCCACCTTTCTTTTCTTCTCCCCTTCCTTCTTGGAGAAGAGTGGAATTCTATGTCCTGCCGAATGCTCCCCAGCCCCTCTTGCTGTTCCCCCTTTTACCAGGAAGTGCTCAGAAGCCAACCCCTTCATTTTTCAGGCAATGAAACTGAGTCCTAGACGATGACTAGTCTAATAGATCCCAAGATCCAAGGTCTCAAAGAACTGAAGATAGTCAGCTTTCCCTTGAGAGTTCCATTCAGTCTGAAGAGGCCCCTGAACTGGAAGAACTCCTGTTGGCCCAAGATCATTGGACATGAGAGTGACTAACCATTTAGGAAGAGATGGCATCATTTTGTCCGTCCAACTGAGAATCATTTCTGACTCCTCCCTTTCCACTCCCACTGCCCAGACTGTGGCCCTGACAAGCTTCAGCTCACAAACGGACAATTCTAGTGCCTCCTGCCAGCCCCTAACCCAGCCCCTGGGGTTCTGGTGCCTTCCTGGTGGTGCCATCCACTTGACCTTCCTCAGACAAAGCTTTCCTTGCTTGACAAGCCCACAGTGTCTCTCTGCTTCTTGCAAGACAAAATCACCAGCCTGGCCCTTGTCTCTTTGGTCACCTCTTCCCCTCCCCAACACACCCCCTTACACTGTCTGGTGACATTGACCACATCCTGCTTCTGCTCAACCTCTTCTCCATCCTGCATAGCTTCCTTGCCCCTCCACCCAAATCCTATGTTTCTCCAAGGCCTTGTCTCCAAACTGTCATCTGCACACCCTGTTGACTGTGACCTTGTGTTTTCTCTAGTTGCTAATGGTCTCTGTCATTTCCCCCAAATTACTGTGCCTAGAACAGGGCTGGGCTCACTGCAAGTGCCCAGAAGAGTTGTGACTTGCCATGGAACTTTGTGCTGGGGATGGAAATTTGGGCTGTTGTACTGGAATTCCCTCACTCCCGTGGGTGCAGGAGAGCCTCAACAACTAAATGAGCTGCTAGGAAGGCAGGAAGGTTCCAGATGAGGCAAGCCAGTCTGTGAGGGTGGCCCTGCATGGGTTCAGGCTGAAGGGGTCCAGGATTCTTCCCTTTACCTTGTGACCTGGGTGATATTAGCTGGTGGGTTGAGCCTAGAGAGTTCTATTCCAGCTCAGGCTGATCAGACAGAAGCTGCTGACTCCTTGGGAGCCAGGCATGTGCTGGGCAGACCAAGATGAAAAGAGTGTCTGTGTCCCCAGCTATTAGCCCATTTTGAAACCACGCTTCTGCTAGCAAGGTGGGACCGGCCGAACCGGCTCTCCAGC